GTATTATGATGTATGCATAGGCATACATGGATTAGAGCAATAGAGGAAAGAGAAAGGGAAGAGCAAAGACGAGTGCTTAAAAAGAAGGATAGGCAGGGTCAGACCCTCAGATGTGCAAGGATTCTCCAACGATAGACGTGTACGTGTGCTGATCTTTGTAATTATAAATTGTGAATACATGTGACTAATATTATTTTCCTTTTTATTTTGTGCATGTTACAAGTTATAAATAAATATAAACAAACAACACTAACTCGATAACATTAAATCTAAATACAAAAACGATTAATTTACTGTGCTTTTGTTATTTATTACTCCTGTTTTTAGGTATTCAGTATTCGGCCGAATACCGAATAGTAACCGAATATTCGTTACATCACTAGTAATTTTATATATTTAGATAACTAAAGATGTACAAATGTCAAAACTATGTAGTAAATAATAGTTGAGATATCAACTTTTATAGTTTTTATATAATAATTTTATCAATGTACAACTGATTTAATTTATTTTACTTACAGATCCCATTATGGTGATGAACAAAGCAAAAGTAAATTGCTTTAGCTTGAAAATTTTGTCAATAACAATTGTTACAGCATGTTTATCAAAACAAATAGTATATTTTCATAGTTTTAACATTTGTACATCTTTAGTTACTGAAGTATAAAATTACACACTGATTTTAGGACCACTCTGTATTAATAAATCAGTTCTTATTTCAAAAACAAATGTTCTGTTGTCAAAACAGTGTTCTGAAAGTTTTAACTGTTACTAATTTATATTAATTTTTAGCTCACCATTGTATTAACTTCAACATCGAAATTTGACTTTTGCAACTGAAACATTCGATGTGAATCTTCTATTTTAATATTAGCATTAAATTTTACATCCATAGCTTCTTTTTCACATTGGGCTTCCTACAAGTAATAAAAAGTATATAGAAATATTTTAAAAATTTAATATTTAAATTCAGTCTACATATCTTTAAATAAGTTTTCACTGGCATTTTATTTTATTAAAATAAAAATGTAAATAAATGACCAAACCCGAATTCCTGCATCCCTTTCTGCTTCGGCGACACCGATTTCTGCGTCTCTTTTGACAATAGCAGCACGTGCTTTTCCTAACGAAGATAGATACTCGACTTGGTCGAAAATATCTTTAATAGTGAAACTGAGTATTTCAATTCCCATTCGTCCGACATCAGGTGCTGCTACTTCTCGAACAAGAGAAGCAAATTGGTCCCGGTCCCGATAGACTTCTTCCACAGATAATGTACCTGTAAGAAAATTTGTCAATGTTAAATTTTGCAGAAAAGTTCTTGTTACTTTCTAACACTTGTGTCATATAGCATAATCTAAGACAATTTAACTAAACCTAAGTCAGATCAGCCCAATGCTTTTAACAAATTAAAAAAAACAAATGTTAGTTTCATATATGAAACTAACATTATTTATTATATTATATTTATTATTGTGGATTGTTTGTAAGTGACTTAGTTTAATTTGCTGAAGAAATAAATAAAATGCCCTAAAATTGTTCCAAAGCCAATTAAAAATTAAATTTCTGTATCAAGTTTTATATCTTGTTAAAATTTAAAGATCTTTTTTCTTAAGAAAATAGTTTTGAAAAAAGTCTCAAAGCTGTTATATATAGGAAAAAAAATCTTTAAATTCTAACAATATATAAAACTTGATACAGAAATTTTGTTACAATTTGATAAATATGGTTATGCATAATTCATAAATTATTCAAATAAGAAATTAATAGAAATAAATATTGACCATATTCCATCTCAATCCAGTTGTCACGTAAATGCTTACATGTATTTTAAAAACAGATTAAGCAAAAAGATTATTATGAGTATATTAGTATGTTTATTTTTATTATTTACTTAAACAATGAGGAATGAGGAACCTGGATGTATTCCCATTAAAGACAACATGTAACTGTTGGATGCTGTTGTCTGGATGGGGTTAGAGTGGCCCTGGCCAGTCCCAAATTTAGATTAAAGAGAGAGGATTAATAATAGGAAGGGTATCTGATTGTACTGGTAGAATTATGACAATCCTACTGAAATTGGAACTAGTAATGCTAGAGATGACGATGATGATTCTTTAATTATTGTTATTTTTATTATATTATTGTGTATATTGATCATTTAAAAGGAGAAAATTATATAGAAATGAAACAAAAGATTAACTAATATAATAAAATAAAAAATTCAATTGAAATATATTGACAATAAATAACAGTATAACTATTTACAACAATGAATTCTCCAGAATCTCCCTTTTTAGAAGTACAACAACATTGAATATAGGATAAAATTTGTTAAATTATAAACAATACAATGTTCTCCACAGTAAGCTGGATGTAAAGAAAAAAAATTGTAAACTATTCGTTTGCTTTATTTTTATCTTTGGCATAAGAATTATTTTCTTCAGAAATTGATTTCTTTTATGATTTTAGAACTGACAGATTCTATATATAAACAACGCTAATTACTACATTTTAATTTATTTATAGAAATCAGTTATTAAACAACTAATTTATACCAAATAATCAAACTGTAAATGAACAAAGTGTTATTTATATACAAAATCATTTTTTTAAATTGTGTAATTGTTATTTAAAATTCTAAATTAACTATTACTTGCCCCAATATTAATTTTCACAAATAATACTATTTTTGGCTGAATAACCAAGCAGTTAAGATGTCAGGTTTCTCTACCACTCTGAGGAATCCAAAAAAGAATCCAGATGGATGAAAAAAACCCCCAAGAATTTTTCAAGATCCTGTCCTGGATACATCAGGCTCCATCCTCCATCATCCAACTATCCCATCATGGACTAGACCCATGAAGGAACAGCTAGGTGGTAGAGCCCAACAATGGGTCTGATAAGGGGGCCTCAGTGCCCACAAGGAGGAGAGTAAAAAATATTATTATTTACTAAACTTAGTTTTGAATTTATGTTATGAATTCTTCTAGTTGTATTTATTAGAAATATCTGACCTTATAAATATTTTTAGATATAATAATTTCATATTTAAGAAGCTATAATAAATGTTATGGAAACTTTCATTTAAAAATAGATTTTAGATTTATAATATTACTTCAGTCTTCATTTTCACTCAATCTCCTCTGGAGATTGAGATCTAGGATAGTATATTAACTATTTCTGTCCTCCCATAACTATTTCCTTTCAATCTTGACCCCTTTCTTTCTTAATTTGATCCTCTTGTCTACTAAGTAAATGAGATGATAATGAAACTTTCCTTACATCTCTTTCTCTATAGATTTAGCTCTAAAAGCCATCTTAAATATTCTTGTTTTCATTTTTTCTTTTATATGACAAAACTACTTTATCGTTGATGGTTCTATCTGATTGATTAATTCCCTGATCAGTGAATTTCTCAGTAATCCTTCCAAGCATATTTCTTTAAGATTTCATCTCAATGGTCACTATCCTATCCTATTTTTTTTTATGTATTTGTAAAAATTCATGTTTCAGATACACTTGTAAAAACAGGTTTACAATAATTGATATGTATTGTTTTCTTTCAGCTCAATGGAATATTCTTTTTCATATTAAATATTTAATTATTTGGTTTGAGATATTTTGGATTCTCCTGATGATTTCTTGACTGTTTCCTTAACTTTTGTTTATTTAACTTCCCAAATGATAGATTAATTCAATCTCTTTCTATTTAATTTTATATTTAAACTTATAGGAATGTCTAAATTCAGAAATTTAAGTATAGTCTTTCCTATGATTATCTGAATTCTCTATTTCTTTCATGTCCTGTTCTAATATCAACATATTATCTTTATATACATTAACAACCTAATTTATATACCATTACAAATTAAGAAATAATATTTAACAGCCTCAGTAAGATTATCTTAAAGTCAAAATAAATATCAATAAATAAAATAAAGTTTTGATATTTTGAAAAATATATTTTCTTTCTTTTGTGGTTGATAGATAAAGATATCTTTAATGTATTAAAAAAAGATTTCATGAATTCTTCACAGAGATTCTTTTCACTAAATTGTGATAAACAGTGTTTTAAAAGCTAGTCTGTTCAAAAATATTTTATCTTCATTTATATTATCATACATCTTAAAAATTACACTGTACTATCCATACAAGCTACTCCATATCTCTATATAGTTACTTTTCTTTTTGAAAGGTAATTAATGTAAGTAATTTTCTGTGGAGGGTGTGTCTGCAAGAACTGATGAAACTGTTACATAATCAACAGATTTTATTTTAATGTTACATCATTATTTAAATTTATTATGATACTTTTCTGTATTTTAATGTTCTTTTTTATCATCTTTTTCCATATATAATTTATTAAATATATTTTTTTTTCATATTCATCTGCATATGTTAGGATGAATTAATATCTTAGAAACAGAATGTTATGCAAGAAAAATGTAATTTTAAAATTGTTACATTTTAAAAACATATATACATTTTAAATTATATATATAATTTAAATTGTATAAATGTATATATCTAGTTTTTAAATTGTTTTATTATTTTATTATATAATTTTATTTTTAAAAACTATTATATATATAAGTTATAATGCCATAGTTATTATGGGTATTATTAGCATTAAAAAAATGTACAATAAAATTAATATATTTTAAAAATAATATGCAAATAATTTACAGTATATGGCTATATGCTAATGAAAACAAATAATATTTAGACTAACAAAGACTTTATACTCATACTGGAGACTGTAGTAATTGTATATCCACAGAAAGTTACAATTTCAAAAGCCTATATTCTTTAAAGATAGTGGTTATTTCTGGAAGTGGCACAGAGCAAAACCATTATTGAAAGAATATGCATATAAGTGTTTTCTCCATGTTATACAAATAAAATAATAGCTGCAAATGAAATTAGTTATTTCAAATCTTGATGTGAAAATCTCTCAACTAAGAAAATAAGAAAAATCTGTACACTTTTAAAATGAATTGTGGACAGATAAAATAATACCTCAGTGATTTACTTGTATCATTAAATAGTGCTAATTTATTCTTTGAAACTACTTTAATGTTAATTGAGATAATAAAATATAATTTGTATAAAAAAGTAATTTATAATTATAATATTATATAAAAATAGAAATTAATATAATTGAAAATTAAATTATAAATAACGTTATTTAAATTGCATAACAATTCTTTAATAGAGTAAAAAAATTAAATCATCCTAAAGAAAATTTAGTGTAAAAAAATAAATTGAATTCTTAAAAATTAATTCTGATCAACTACTCTAATATACATTTTCATCTATAATACATTTTAAATGATACAATGCCAAATAGAGAATGTAATAGTAGTTTTAGTAGTAGTAAAAAGTAGTTTAAAAGTAAAATAAGAATATCACTTCCATTCATTTGCACTTTATTTTAATTCAGACACAAAAACTTGTTAATATCATAATTTTATATAAAATAAATTTCTTATTTTGTAAAATATAAGTATTAAAAAAGAAGTATTTGATAAATATATAATTTACATTTTATTTTCCTGGCAGTTATACATAACAGAGGGAAAGTATGGCAATTAGTCAAAACAAAATGACCTTCCAGATTTTTACATTTTGGACTTGGGACCCTGAAATGTCAAGAAATACAAACGAATTTGGGGGTAATTTCTGTATGTATGGATGTTAGTGTGTGTGTGTGTGTGTGGGGGGGGCATGATTTTGCTCACTCTCTCTGAAGCTTAATAACTCCTGTGATTTTTGTCAAAAATTTCTGAAAGTTTGCAGGGTATTTGANGTATTATACATAATTTTTCATTGTTAATCTATTGGTAATTGTATATCCACAGAAAGTTACAATTTCAAAAGCCTATATTCTTTAAAGATAGTGGTTATTTCTGGAAGTGGCACAGAGCAAAACCATTATTGAAAGAATATGCATATAAGTGTTTTCTCCATGTTATACAAATAAAATAATAGCTGCAAATGAAATTAGTTATTTCAAATCTTGATGTGAAAATCTCTCAACTAAGAAAATAAGAAAAATCTGTACACTTTTAAAATGAATTGTGGACAGATAAAATAATACCTCAGTGATTTACTTGTATCATTAAATAGTGCTAATTTATTCTTTGAAACTACTTTAATGTTAATTGAGATAATAAAATATAATTTGTATAAAAAAGTAATTTATAATTATAATATTATATAAAAATAGAAATTAATATAATTGAAAATTAAATTATAAATAACGTTATTTAAATTGCATAACAATTCTTTAATAGAGTAAAAAAATTAAATCATCCTAAAGAAAATTTAGTGTAAAAAAATAAATTGAATTCTTAAAAATTAATTCTGATCAACTACTCTAATATACATTTTCATCTATAATACATTTTAAATGATACAATGCCAAATAGAGAATGTAATAGTAGTTTTAGTAGTAGTAAAAAGTAGTTTAAAAGTAAAATAAGAATATCACTTCCATTCATTTGCACTTTATTTTAATTCAGACACAAAAACTTGTTAATATCATAATTTTATATAAAATAAATTTCTTATTTTGTAAAATATAAGTATTAAAAAAGAAGTATTTGATAAATATATAATTTACATTTTATTTTCCTGGCAGTTATACATAACAGAGGGAAAGTATGGCAATTAGTCAAAACAAAATGACCTTCCAGATTTTTACATTTTGGACTTGGGACCCTGAAATGTCAAGAAATACAAACGAATTTGGGGGTAATTTCTGTATGTATGGATGTTAGTGTGTGTGTGTGTGTGTGGGGGGGGCATGATTTTGCTCACTCTCTCTGAAGCTTAATAACTCCTGTGATTTTTGTCAAAAATTTCTGAAAGTTTGCAGGGTATTTGATTATTAGGAAGATTGATGCTATTAAATTTTGGTGATTAAAGATTGAACATAAGGGTAGATAAATAAGGGTCATGTGTATCTTCAGTACGGGTCAGACTTAATGACATTTTACTCGTTATTAGCATTTACAATTTTTTTATAAAACCTATCCCTACCCTCAAAATTAATGTTTTTGCCATTTTATAATAGTTAACCTTTCAACAGTGGAATAGTCAGGTATGGTGTTAAAAATATAAAAATTCTTAAAAATAAAATATCATAACAGATAGTGTCCCCAAATGTTGCTGGAAAAGTTAAGCAACTCATTGGTGGATTTGTTTTATTATATATTTGTTATTAAAAATTTGAGAAGAGATTCAATGAATATAAAATTTCTTATTTTCATGCAGATTTCTGTAATTGACAAATGAAACTTGGAATGATAAAGATTTTCCTCCCCAAAACGTGACTAATAATCATATATGAATACATTATGTAATATTCATTTAATAATTTAATAACTAATAAATTACATCATTTAATCATTTCAATATATAAAGCATTTAAGATAGTTTCATATGAAAAATATCTGTATTCAGATTAAATAATTAAAAATAAGAAAGTTAACTGTATTTGACATGCTTCTATTAAATCCAAATTTTCATTATATACACTATAGAAAACTATAAAGCATATATATGCAATTTCTGTTAGTCAAGATTATATTTTTTATAAATTAGATGCATTTGAAAAAATAATAAAATTCTTTAAAATTATCTTTGAATAAATTTTTATTCAAAATCTAACTGTTGAAAATAAAAGATGAAGCTAACAAGAGTATTAATAACAAACTGCCATAAAATATTCTGACTTCAATATATATGCAATATTTACCATAATTTGCCTAATATTAACCATCCATCTTTCTGAAATATGTGCAATTGAACATTTGAAACTAGAAAACTTTACTTGATATGAAGGAAATGAACAATGAATGGAATACACAGTTGTCACAGAAATCTATAAATATATTCGTTAAATATATAAATACAAACATTTTCCCATAAATTCTTGGGATTTATAAGGAAATGATTTAAATATTACTAAGTAATAAATGCATCTTTAAGGCATCTGAAATAATGTTTTTTCTTGTTTATTCCTCCATATCAAAGCCAATTACCCATTTCTGAATGTTATATGTATACATATTTCAGGTAATGTTAATATTAGACACGACAAATACAGGGTTTTTAAAAATAACTTCCTCAACTCAGAGGGCTCTGGACCATGTTCATAAAAAAATAAAATAAAAAATTTTTTGTACAAAAATAATCACTGATAGGTGGTAGTGCTATGCAAATTGTAGTTATAAATATTCAATAGGTCCTCCATTGTTTTCAACAATGCTCTCCATTTGCAAAATCATATTTTCCACAGAGACAACATTTAGAGACCAATTGCAGTTTACAGATCAGGTAGACTGCCGTTCAGAAAAATTTTACTGCAGAGATGTATACTGTGATTAGAAACAAGTTATTTGACCTACTTTCTAGACTCACCAACAGCAGGTTTAGAGGGCTTTTTAATTCTACTGGTAGCTTTGTTTGTGGTTAAGTTTAGATAAAAATGGATATTGTTCCTTTGATAAATGTTGTAAATGGTACGAATCAACAAAATTATTCATTAATTAATTGCTTGGAGCAAAAATAACAAAATTAAATACTTTAAATTTGTTTTAAATGTTCCGATATTCAAATGGGTGAAGACTTAAAACTACAATTAATTTAAATCAGATGCAATTTGAATATTGTGTCAGTTATAAAATGTTAATGAATATCAGGGTCATTGTTGTTAATCCCCTAGTCAGAACGTTCTGTTAAACAAACAAGACGATTTTAATAATTACTGAAATCTTTTTATAAAAATAAAAAAATGTAATAGTAATAATAAAATATTTAAAATTATTCATTTCAACAGTTACGAAGGGAGACAGTAATACAATGTCAAAATGATTCCTTAAAAATCTATTCCGAAGATGAAGTATGAATTTGGTATAAATTTTCTAAATATGGATTTGTTCATATTTTAAACCGTATTGGTGACGAAATTAAATATCGAAATGAAAAAGGATTGTTATTAATTGCCGAACAATGATTGTTGATGGCCTTAAGATTTTATTTCTGGCAGCTTTCGGAATATAGCTGGCGACATTTTCTGACATCACAAACCAATAACCTAAATGACTCTATTATATTCGTGGAAATAACGATAACTCGTAAACGTATATAACTAGCTTTATTAACATAAACGTAACAATGAGTGAACAACGTATTGTCCTGTCCAGGTCTAGGGGTTACAAAACAACTAAAGACAACTCGTTGAGACAAAGAACATACACGAGGTCGGAGGTGTGGGGTAACCTAAGTAGGTCAAGGGGCGATTTTCGGTAGCGGTCATCCCCTGGCGGTTTACATACATAACAATTCTCCCACACTTAATAAAATGTTATTTAAATTAATTTTGTTCGTTTAGAGATTTAGGCGTTGTACTGGTTTCCGTATTTGTGTTGATCTTCGAGGTTCCGACTCATTTCCATTTGTTATCATTCGGCTAGATTCTCCCTCTTTCTCTGGGGGCTGGTCGGAAGTTGTTTTTGTCATTGTCTCCCTTTTGTTGCGTAATGTCGTTACAGTTCCTTCGTCGTGGCTAATTGTGCTAGGGTGTGTACTAGCGCTAGCTGAGGATGAGTCCCTGTTGTTGACTGTGTCGTTGCACTTGTCAATTTTCTTTTTGTTGAAGTCGAATCCTATCTGGACGGGAGTTGTCTGTTTGTTAATTTCACACAGACGTAGTTGATCGTAATGTCTTTTTATTACGTATCCATCGTCGAGTTCAATTAAGTAGTGTACACGACCTAGTCGTTCGGCTACGATACCATATTTCCAAGGACAGGAAGTTGTGTAATTTCGGGATTGTACACGATCTCCCACACGATAAAATTTGTAGAATTTCGGTTGTTCAGTTATGTTCCTTTCGGAAGCTTGTGCCTGGGGTTTGAGCAAATCTAATTTTGTTCTTATTGTATGTCCTAATAGATTTTCTGCTGGACTTTTCCCGTTAGATAAGGGAGTCGCTCTATATCGGAATAATAGTTCATGAAGCTTCTGATGTAAGGTACCAGTTTCATGCTTCATACATTTGAGGTGTGTTTTTAAGGTGTGGCAGTATCTTTCAGCCTGGCCATTTGTGGCTGGGTGTCCCGGTGCTATTAGACTTTGACGGATTCCGTTTCTCGAACAAAACTCTTGAAATTCTTGTGACTTAAAAATGCTTGCATTATCACTTACTAAGATCTCAGGTAGACCAAATCGAGCAAAGACTTCACGTAGGAAATGAATTGTGATTGATGTGTCTGGTGCTTTCTTTGTATAGAATATTTCCGGCCACTTCGATTTGGCATCAACGACAATGAAGAAATAATGATTTATAAATGGTCCTGCGTAATCGATGTGTATGCGTTGCCAGTTTCTTGTAGGTGTTTCCCATTTGTGTATTGGAGCTTTTGTTGGGTTTTTCTTAATGTCACAGCATTCTTTGCAACTTTTAACCGTATTCTCAATATCAGAGTCGATATTACGCCAGTAACAGTAGTTTCGGGCTAGGGCCTTCATTCGAACGATTCCTATGTGTGTAGAGTGTAGCTCTTGTAGTACTGCTGGCTGTAAACTTTTTGGGACGATTACGCGGTGTCCTCTAAACAGAATGCCGTTGTGTGTGGATATTTCTGGGTCGTACATATGGCCATTGACAATGTCGTTTTTGATCTGTGATAGTTCCTTGTCAATTGACGATTCTCTTCGAATGTCTTTGGATGTGATAGTTCCGGTTGAGATATGTTTTACGACAGTGTCATGATAAATATCATCAGGTTTACATACATAACAGACTCCTAAAACAGGGGAATAATTGCGAAGAAAGTAAGAGCCAATGTTTTGCCAAAATTCATTTAGAGGGCATTCAGAAATAGATGATCGTCATCTTTGCAATGCATTTTAAACTGTGGTTCAGCCAGCCAACGTCTATAGGCTGTTCTGTTGATAAACGTCATTTAACATAAACCCTCTCTCTCTGCAATCGGCTGAATGAGTTCACTTTAATCACAAGGACATGCTGACAAGTGCTGTCTTTTAAATCTGATACAGATGCACATCTTGTATGAGAGATGTGATCCTTCAAGAAACTCCATAGCCAGAAGTCATATGGAATGAGATCAATGAGCACAGAGCTCTTGGAAACTAACAGCTAATCACCTGTTCATCTGTGAAAGTCCACCTTAACTTACATTGAAAACAGTGAGTGATGTGGGGTGGTGCACCATCTTGCATAATTATGATATTCTGAAAGCACACATATTGTTGAAGCTCTGGGATCAGAACAGTTGTCAACATGTTAAGATGGATGGATTAACCTGTTCTATGGTGACAGAACAGAATTGGACCCCAGTTGCATAGCTCCATCACCACCTATTGGTAATTTTTTATTCAAAAAACTTTCATTTAATAAATTGTGAGCACATCATATGAAATATCTGTTGTCCAAATGTTTCATTTCAAGCAGTAGAATGCTCCAGAGCTCTCTGAGTTGGAAAAATTATTTTTTAACAATCTTGTATTACTGATATAATAAAATTACATTAATTGCAATTCATTTACAGAGTGTAATCAATATATTGTAAAGAAGCATTGAATGAATATAAAGATAATTTATATACTCTATATGTTTGGGTGGAAAAAAATTATTGCATTTATAACAACGTAATATCTGATTTAAATGCTAAATGGCTACTCCATCTCTGATTTCCAAACTTTTAAACAAACTCACTAAATCATATTTATTATTAAATAAATTATGTAACTTGCCACAAACTCATAATCCCACTGATGCCTGTGTATGCATCAGTCTTCCTGAACTTAAAGATCATATAATATATTTTGATCATATCCTTTTTTATAAATATTTTAATGGTTTATTAAGCCCTCACTGGTTTTATCTAAAAATAACCAGTCAACCTACCTGTGATTCTTCTTGTATATTCACCCCCCTCTGCATTTAACAATATCACACAGATCTATTTTTTTATCATATACTGGAAGTATGAAACCAGTAGAAAGGTTATTGCATGAAAGTCTCATCTATTTTAAAAGAAAATGTCAAAATATTTTATATCAGTGATGTATTTAAATTTTATTTTATTTCTTTTGATTTTAGGTCTTTTAATATGTAAGATCTTATTTTTTTAATCCTTTTATTATAATACTATATGTAATATTTGTTTGATCATTATAATAGCTGATCTTTATACATGTGTGTGTATATATATGCATTTTGGATTTTTATGTTTTTTAATTTTATTGTCTTCACTATATTTTTTTTTATTAATTTTAAAAATTTTTCATACATTCATATATTAATGCTTTAACACATACTGCATTATTTCATAAATCATGTTTTTTACTCTTTGTTACTTTTTGGTTTTAACTGCAATTCACTGTTGAGGCTTTTGTTAATTGGGGGGTGGATATCTTTCGTCAGCTGACAGTTCCTAATTATGTATAAAATAAATAAATAAAATTTTGAACTATTTTTGAATGCATTTTTTTAGTCTATCATATTATATTTGTTCACTACACAAATATTACAGATTTAGTGCATGCTTTAAATGCACTAAATCATTTAAAATATTTTATCAAATTGCTATTTCATTGATATAGAAATAATCTTTAAATTAACATTTCTAAAAATAACAACAACATTTTAGAGTTGAATTGTAATTATTTTTTTTAAAAATAACTGTATAATTAAACTTGTATTATACATAATTTTTCATTGTTAATCTATTGTCATTTGTTATCCATTATTATTATTATACTTATTATTGTTATTAACCAAAAAGACAAAAAAAAACTATTGAAAAACTTTTCTGATAAACAATATATTTCAAAAAATATCTTTTCAATTGTTTTTCAATATTTTAATTTAAAGTAAGTTGCTTTTATCAATTGCTTACCTTAATATAATATTGCATCACTATATAATTTTTTTAATGGGGAAATAATATGAAAGTAACATTCCTTGTATCTCTAAATATTAAAAACAGAAGTATATTACTGCATTTCTCTATAACAATCAATCTTAATATATATAAAGCTACAACATACCAAGTAATCGTAACTAAAGTAGCCCTATTCAACACTAGAGAGATATTTGGCAACATAAATGCAAACCTGGTATGGTAGCATTTTAGAACAAGCAGAAGACATTTCTATAAAACACATTAGTACTAAAACTTACTAATATGACATTTTTGGCACTAAAAGCAACAAATACTTCATTTATATAGTGATATTAGTAATGCAGTTTAGAAATGTTTTCCACATGTCTTGAAATATCACCATATCAGATTTGGACTGCTAAATATCCTTCTAGACATTGTTAAATAAAGGTACTTTATATGTAAATACTGGGAGATTGATTAAAATATATTTAAAAAAGGTGTGTGTGTGTTTTTTAAAAGTACTTTAATTAAGATCATCCAGTATATAGCAGAGGCTAATATAAAAATAATTTATTTTAATATTTTTGATAAATGTAAATTATGAAATTTATAAGATAAACTTACAACTGTTTATATAAATTTTCACACAAATTAGAATAAATATTTTGATGTTTGTAAAACAGTTAAATATTTGATAAATAACAAATTTCTTACATTATGAAGGTAAATTGTTTTAACAACATAAAATTTTTAAAATATTTTGACTTGTAAAAAGATTGTTTATTAATTTGATTAAAATATGAAAATTTATTACAAGTGTTTATATATTGTGTAAAGCATAATTTAATAAATTTTGAGATTATTTAGAAACAATGTATATTGTATTTTATTTAATAAAGTTATAAATTATCTTAAGTATCTTAAAGCAGATTTTATGGTATTATCATCTTTAAGTATATTTTAATTGTACATTTTTATTTATACTTTTCATATTTTTAAAAGCTCCATTCAAATATTTGAACTGAATTTTAAGAATTTAAATAATGTTACGTAGCAATTATCTTGAATATAGTCACTTACCAACAATTGATCTTAAATGTCCTTCTAAAGTTTGAAGAATGACAGATTTAATATGTTCAACTTCCTTGCCCAAGAATTGTTCAGCAGCAGTTGCAAGAAACTCTTTTTCAGTCATTACTTTACATTGGGCTACTCCGGTCACTGTCAAGGGAACACCTTGTGCAGTTTCAACATGCTCACAGCGAGGATTTAATGTCATTACTTCCAGTGGTAATCTGTCAGTTCAAAATATTCATAGTGAGTATACTAAAATTAATCATATATAAAATCTATTAATACTATGAGTAAAATGCAACTGTATAAATCTATAAATAATATATAAAATAACTAGAGTAAGTAGATAGTGGAATAACTAAATAAATATTTTAAACAATAATTCAAATAAAATGTTATATGATTAATAAAACAATAAGTAATTCTAATTATTAAAACTGTTTTCTAAATTAATATTATTGTATTATTTATAAAATATATTTAATGAAAAAAACAAAAAAAATATGAATTTGGTAAATAGCATGATTCTGATCAATAACTTATACTAATTATGTAATATATTTAATTTAATCAAATTTATTTTATAAATACAACCTTTTAATACTTATGTACTTTGATTTATTTATAAAATAAAGTCTGTAAGAAAAAAAAGCTTAATTGTTTTTTAAAATATCAATACTAAAATTAAAGATAATTTACTAATGTATTATTTTTTAGGTCTAAAAAATCTTATTTTCATTTCATATATAAAAACTGGAAAAGTGAAATTTAATATTAAATTTAAAAATAATGAAAAGGACTAAAACAAAACTTAAGTGTGTGTATATATATACACCACACACATACACACACACTTCTTATAACTACTGTACTTTTGTAGTAAATCAAATTTTCACATTAAAAGTATAAGAGTCATTCCAAACACATTTAACTTCAAAAAGGAAAAGCTATTTAGTTTTTTCCAGTAGAGAAAGAGGTTGAATAAAACAGTTTTGTTTCTTTAACTAAAAGCCATTTTTTATTTTTTTGCTATAAAAGCAATTTTCCAACAATAAAAATGAAATTTTTAAGAAGCAATTTCTATATATTTTTCTAGATATATACCAGAGCAGTTCCACAGCAAATTATACACTGGTAAAAGGACAGCCAATTTTTTTATACAATAGAGTTTTTGCTTTGATATTTCTTTTCTATTATAAATAAGAGTAGGGAAATGTTTAAAAATAGAATCAGAACCTTCAGCTTCAGAAATATTTATTTCTTCCTAAACAGCCTATTACTCTCATTTTCTGTATAAAAAATATATTTATACGTTGCAAAATTTTAAAATGTTATATATTTAAACTTTTAACTTAAACATTTCTTAAATGCTTTTTTGCAATATTTTATTTTAATAATGAAAGAAATATCTATTCAAATTAAAAAAAAAAAGATAAATTGATGCATAGTTATATATAAATCAGTCAAATGATTTTCTGAAATATGGCATTTACTGTAATATATATTCAATTTTCCAGTCTAAATACAACCAAAAAGCAATCAATAAAATAAAAAAAATTATCAATTTTTATCATCATTTTGAATTTATCAATATATATATAGATAGATATCTCTATTAATCAGCATAAAATAATCTATCTATTAATCAGCTGCATAAAATATACATTTATATGTCATTTTCTTTTAGACTCATTACTCTTTTCACAACACATTTAAGCATGCAATTTTATATTTATTTTAATATATATA